AAAAGGGCCAGGAGGGGTCAAGTAGGACAAAAGGAATAGACGGACTAAAAAGATTAGACGGACCAGACGGACCAGAAGGGCCAGACGGACTAGAAAGGCTAAAGGGACTAAAAAAGAACTAAAAGGACTAAAAAGGCTAGAAGGGCCAGGAGGGGGCCAAAGGGGCCAAAGGGACTAGAAGATTGAGAAGGACTAGAAACACATGAACCAAAAAGATTAAAAAGGACTAAGATCAAAGGACTAGAGAAATAAAAACCAAACGGATAAAAAGGGCTAGACGAGCCAAAAGGGCCAGAAGAGCTAGGAAGGGGCAAGGAAGGGGCCAAAGAGGCCAGAGGGGCCAGGAGAAGGCAAGGAAAGGGCCGAAAGGGCCAGAAGTGCCAGAAGTGCCGGAAGGGTCAGAAGGGCTCCAAGGGCTAGAAGGATCAGACTGACCAGACGGACCAAACGAATCAAACGAACCAAACGGCCTAAAAGAAAAAAAAAACTAAAGAACTCAAAAAGCTATATTAAAAAAATAATCAAGACAAAAACAAATAAATAAATCGATCAAGAAATCCTCGCGCGGCCAGTAAATACTCGTGCGGCCGGTACATATATTCCCTTATCGCAAATCATCTTCAACACAAAATCAGATTCCAGCGCAATTAATTATATAAAGCGTTGCAGCCTTTTATTTGAATTGAAAAAGATCGGTACTTAAAAAGATACTTACTTATTAGCTGCACGAGTAAATGGATGTAAAGACGTAAAGCATTTGTGCAGCGCATTTACGCAGCGCATCCACGCAAAGCATCTACGCAAAGCTTTTACGCAGCGCATCCACGCAGCATTTACGCAGCGCATCCACGCAGCGCACTTACGCGACGCATACATCTTCCGACACCGATTAGTATATGAAATGAAAAGCTATAATAAAAGAATATAAAATCGATGCATATCATCAAATGTACTGCATCTATACTAGTACATTTTTTCCTTGTTTGAATTATGCTTACATAGCTCAGCTCTTCTTTATTATTACGGTGTCGATTTATTTGCTGTCGGAGCTTGAATTAAATAAAGCAAGGCAGGGCAGAGCAGAGCAGGGCGGGGCAGGGCGGGGCAGGGTAGGGCAGGGCAGGGCAGGGCAAGATAAGGCAAGATGAGGCAAGATGGTGCGGGGCAAAGCAAACCAAGGCAAGGCAAAAGTAATACGATCGATATAATACATAACGAAACAATCAAGTACTACGATCTAAGCTTAAGTATTATCTTTCGAAAGTTGCGCTTAAAACGTAATATAAAAGCTGGCTGGTTAATAATTAATTCGTCTAAAAGTTCCGAAGACATGTTGGGCGATGCAGCTTGTTGCGGAGCGTGCTCGGACTTAACGAATGCATTCGCCGTAAGTCCGAGTCTATTACGTAAGTCGAAGTCTGGTCGCGGTCCAATCCGAGTTCGAGTCTGAGTCCAAGCCCAAGTCCAGGTCCACGCCCACGCCCACGCCCACATCCATATCCACATCCACATCTACTACGTCGCAGGCGTAAATATTACCCCTCGAGGGTAAAGTAACTAGTAGGTTTAAAGTAAAAACTAAACTTTTAAAGCACCCTCGAAAGGTAATACTTAAGCCTATATCGTAGTATATCTACGCCCATGCCCACGCCTATGCCCACGTCCACGTCCAAGTTACATTCACATCCACGTCCACGCCCACGCTTACGTCCAAGTCCACATCCACATCTACTACGTCGCAGGCGTAAGTATTACCCCTCGAGGGTAGGGAAAACAGGGGGCTTAAAGTGGAAACTAAACTTTTAAGGCACCCTCGAGGGGTAATACTTAGGCCTGTACCGTGGTATATCCACGTCTACGCTTATGCCCAGCTCTAGCCCCAGCTCTAGCCCTAATCTAATTCAATCCACCTATCATTTATTACCCATCACCCACTTGCATCTCTCGTCTAATCTTTCTCGCCCGCATACCATATCCTCCTCTCGTCCAAGTGCATTCATTCCCGATTACATACATCTTCAAATCTCAGCCCGCCGGCGATATTAATCAATCATCTTTAACTTTTAAATGCGACCATAACTCATATAAATTCAATACCACGGCCCGCTGCGACCTTAAAATAATTATCCAATTCCGCCTTTATGCAGCGCCCTCGTCCCCGCTTTACTACGAGCAAATAAACAAATAGCTCTCGAGCTTTCGAATGTTTAACAAGCCTCGGCTGATTCCTTCGGCCGCACGACACGCGGCTACCACCGGCAAAATTACAATCGAAAGATCACATGCGAAAGCTGCCAGCCACATTTCTTTCTTCTGCCCGCACAAATCGAGTCGAGTAATATTACCACGAGCTTCTACTTTAAATAATATCCTTTTCGATCCCGTCCCAATTAAAAATGCATAAATACAACCAGCACCTTATCTTACATCTAAGCCCCGCACCACTACCCTTTTCTTAGCCGCACTTATCCCCGCCCAACGTATCAATGCGTTCAAATCCATATCATCCACATCGATCACAGCCGCTCGAGACCCGCTCGCTGATTCGCTGCCGCTATTAATACGTTAATACTAATCCGCACCAAAGAAAAAAAGCGATAAAGCAATCATAATCGCGCAAACTCGTATCCAGCATATTTATCTTCTTACCGAAATCATTATAAATATGAAGTCCAACTTATTAAACATAATCCTAAACGTGCAGCGCATTGCAACCTTCTTTAAAATACGATTAATATATTAATGCAAATATACTAGCCACACGAGTACCAGCCTTGCCCCGACCACGTCCACGCGATCAAGACGGTGCAGCACGAACTAAAACGCTTCTGCTTTTTTCAGACCTTTTCGCTACATTTAATCTTGAAAGCCATAACGAAAAGCGACGCTCTTTTTGCTAAAAGATAAGTATATTCCGTTAATAAATTGTATCAAATACGCTCCTATCAAGCATAAAAAAAAAAGAAAAGCTTTTCTTCTTTTCCGATCTTTTTTTATACATCTTCTTCCATTTTGCCTTGCTTTTCTTATATTTTTTTTTTTATTCTGCTTCTTTTATTCCTAACATATATCTATTCTTTTGTTTATATATTTCTTTATTTTTATTCCTGTTTTTCGATCTTTATATCTCTCGATTTAGTTACTTTATTTTCCTTCCTTTCTTTCTTTCACATCCCCTTTCTCTATCTCTCTTTATTATCCCCTTTCTCTCGTCATCCTCTTTCTCCATCTCCTCTCGGTATCCCTTTTCTTTCTTTCTCTTCTTTTACTGCTATTCTTTTTCTCCTTTCTCCTTCCCCTTTAATCAATCCATAAACATTTCTTTCTTCCTCTTCCTCCGCCTTTTTCTCTTCTACTTCACCCATCCTCTTCCTTCTTATATATAGCTATGCATCCACTCCTACTTTACTTTCCTTCTTTTCTTTTCCCAAGATCGAGCGAGAACCACCAAATCCAAAACCAATCGATCTCTCGACACCCATCCCAACCCATCCAATCCACCATCTCCACCTCTCAACCAACAACCAACAAACAATCCAATCCAAAAGCCAAAAGTAAAAACCAAAAAAAAAAGCCGCACGACGCAATCAAGTAAAAACATAAAACTCCCATCTTATCCTCTCATCTCACTTCTTGCATCCCTTCCCACCCCCCCGCTCCTCCACCCTCCTACTCCCTTCCCCTTCTACCCTTCCTCTCGCTAACACTCTTCTACAGCCACCTCCAGCAAAGCCTTCTTAGCGTAACAAAGCTCCCCAGCTCAGCAAAACCACTCAAGCCACCCCCCAACTCATAAAACAAGTAATGCAAACCCTTTCGATCAGTCCGTCTATCCCGCATCCATTCCCATTTCCATCTTGATTTTTTTCCGTATCTCGCATCTATATCTTTCTTTTGATATTCTTATATATCCATCTTCATATCCAACTGCATTTTTTACGTTTAAACGATTTTTTAATTTTTTTTGGCGATTGTTTACTTGGCATTTATATCCCCATCTCTCCTTTTTCAATATCCTGCTCTTTAATTTTCTATTCCCCTATTTCTTGCTTCTTATTCGATTTTTTTTTATAAGCAAAAGTACTAATTGCTGTTATCATTTTAGATTCTTCAGACTTGATTTGCAATTTCGAAGACGAAAAAGCGTAGATACATCCACCGACACATCTACCCGTCTACTCGAACACCCCCATCCACCCACCCACCGATCCCCACCCAAAAATGCCCCTCTTACCCTCACCACCCTCATCCCAGCCCGCCTACTCACCTTTATCCAAAACCCCTTTCCAGCTCCAAAAGCCCAACCCCCTAAAACCCCCTACATGCCCGCATTGCAAACCGCCTTTAGCTCCATCTCTTCAAACCCCGAAGCCGCATCTGAAAGACGTACGTATATATCCCTTTCCTTCTCCCCCCTTTCCCTCCTCTTCTTCCCTTTTCCTTTATCTCTTCTATCTTTTCCTCTTTTATTTATCTATTTATCCACCCACTTACTAACCCCCTCCCAGCCTCCGCCTCCCCTCCCCCTCCTCCTCAACACCCACTCCCTCCTAAACCTCACCACCGCCTGCCGCCTGACCTTCCCCCCTTCCCGCCTCGCCCACCTCCGAACCTTCCTCTTTACGCAAAACATTACCTCTGCGTCTTCGTTTAACGAGTTTCTGCGATGCGTCAAGAGGGTCGAGGACGAAGACGAAGACGAAGACGAGGTCGAGGTCGAGGTTTCGGATTCGGATCAAGATCAAAGTTCGAGTCAGAATCAAAGCCGCGATCGAAATCGGAATCGGAATCGGAATCGGAATGGGGTTATACTTGCGGATAAGGATAAAGATGAGGATAAGAATAAGAATGGGGAAGGAAGTAGAGACAAAGACAAAGCCGCCGCCATCCAAACCCTTATGCAATCCATCCTTGAGATCCCCGCTGGAGATCCGAGGTGGGCGTGTACAGCGCGGGTAGCGGGTGCAGCGGGTGCAGCGGGGAAGAAAGATCTGGATGGAGATCTAGATGAAGATGCAGATGCAGATGCAGATGCAGATGCAAACGGATATACGAAGAAGAAAAAGAAAGGCATAATTACTTTGCAGGAGTGGGCTTGGGAGAAGTGCGTTCGAAGGATGAAGAAGGGGGGGTGGATTCGGGAGCAGTGGGAGGGGAGGGGGGGGGAAGGGGAGGAAAAGGAGGAAGGGGAAAAAGAAGAGGAAGAGGAAGAAGGAATCGAATCGCATACGCAACTCGGATATGAAAGCGAAGATGGGCGTGATGAAAGGGATGCCGAGGATGAGGATGGTGTGGATTATGCTGAAGGGGATAGGGATGAGGATGGGCGAAGAAACGACGACGACGACGACGACGACTACTATACTTTCCAATCAGCGCGGATCTTCAATCTTGAGACGGAGACGGAAACGGAGACAGATGTCAATTCGTCGCTGTCTAGGCTTGATCCTGGTCTCGATCTCGATTTACACGCCGACGCCGATACCGCCGCTTTTTCGCGCTCGAGTTCACCTTCACCTTCACCTTCACCTCTACCTTTTCATTCCAGCAACTCTAACGACTTCAATTCCAACCCCCCTTCCCTTCTTAACGATAACAACAACACCGCCCTCTTCACCGCCACCACCCTCCTCACAACCTGCAAAGCGCTTTCCAGCTTCAAACGCCGCCTCAGCGCCGAAACCAACACTCTCGCATCCCGTCTTTCGGAGTTAACATCTCAATCTTCTTCTCTCGCGCGAGAGATTAAAGCGCAAGAAGAGGAGTTGTGGAGTTTGCGAGAGGAGAAAAAGGAGTTATGCGGTTTGCGAAAGGAGAAGGAGGAGGTAATAAAAGAGGTGGAAGGATTAGAAAGGGAACTGGAAGAGGTGGAAAGGGAATTAGAAAGGAAGAGAGAGAAGGGGAGGGTTTTTTGGGGGCTGCTGAGGGCGAGGGCGAGAGAGGTGTATGCTGGTGTGGCGAGGGATGGGAGGGAGGTTTGGGAGGGGGTGGGGGGGGTTTTGAGGGGGGGGTGGAAAGGGGGGCTGGGGATGGAGGGGGGAGGGGGAGGGGGAGGGGGAGGGGATGGGGGGTGAAGATGGGGGTGAAGATGAAGATGGAAAAGAAGGGAGGGATGAAAAAACCCGCCTCCTCGCCCTTTTCTCAGCCCGCGAGCTTCGCTTGAGGGAAGCGCTTGAGAGGATGGAAGAGATGGTTGCGGAGCTAGAAAAAGAGGAACAGAAAGAGAAGGAAGCTGAAAAGGAAAAGGCGAAAGCGAGCAAGAAGAGTGGATGGTGGCTTTTTCGTTGAGGGTTTAAGGCGGCCGCTAGTCTCGCTGATTTATCTCGTAACCAATCCTTAAAACTTCGTCCAAGCTTAAGGCCTGCCAGCACCGTATTGTAATAAGATTCGATCTTAAAGAAATCGTGCCCAGGCTTATACCGTTATATTTATTTTTGATATTGATCTTGGAGTATTTATGCAGAAACTTATGCTTATATCATTTTATTCTTTCATATTTGACCCCGAAGCAATCGCGCCGGCAAAGCTATTAAATCCAAGCTTAATATTTATGCTCGTGATATTCGTCTCGGCGAAGTCTATACTTATCGTAATACTTAAGCTTAATGTTTTATCGGCGCGAGCGTTTTGTTTACTTTCGATATTTATGCCGAAACCCATGCTGCCGAAACCCATGCTGCCAAATCCGAGCTCGATATTTACGCCGGCGGAGCCCATGCTTACATAATTCCACCCTTCCATATTCAGATCGGTAACGTTTTTTCCGAAATTTTATTCTTTAATTGTATTGCTCGAAAGTCGATATATCCAAGCTTTATATTCGTGCTCGTAACGTTCGTATTAAAATAATTCATTCCGAAAGTATTGCTAAGTAAAGTAGAAGAGAAGCAAGGTGCCAGTGGCACCAAGGCAATGCACGGACCTTATGCCTTGGCGCTGGATTTAATTTTAAAGCATCCGTGCCGAAGCTGCTATTCCATCCACGCTTCAATTTTATAATCGGTCCTATACTATAGCGTTCGTAACAGCCCTCAAGTCTATACTATTCTATCCGTTTACATTCGTCCGTTTACATTCGATCCCGAAGCATTTATTTACAAATTATTATTATTATTCGTACTAGCGAGGCTTAAACCGTTAAGCTTACGTTCGATTTTCGTGCCGGCGCTGCAATTTCATCTCCGCTTCATTTTTATAATCGAGCTCGCAGCGTTTATTTCGGCGTTACCGTTTTATTTACGCTTTAAATCCGATTCCGAAGCATTCGTACCGGCGGAGCAATTGAACTCAAGCCCGATGTTTATATTCGTAATATTCGAGCTAGCGAAACCTTTGCCGCTAGATTCAGATTTGATATTTATGCTCGTAGCGTTCGTGCTAGCGCTGCCGTTCCATTTACCCTCGATATTCGTGCCGATAATTCCTTTTTTCTTATTTACGCTTCTTAAGATTCGGACTCGTAAAATTCGAGCCAGCGCTGCCGTTCTATTTACCTTCGATATTCGTGCTAGCAAATCTTATACTATTATATCTTTCCTATCTACGCTTCTTAATATTCGATCTTAAAGCATTCGTGTCGGCGAAGCTTATATCGTTATATTACGTCCTAAGCGTAAGTATTGCTTTGCGAAAGTAAAGTAACCAAAGGGTTAAAAATAGAAACCAAACTTTTAAAGCACCTTCGAAAGGTAATACTTATGCTTGTACCGTAGTATTTATATCGGCGCTGTTTATGCTATTAAATCTACGCTTTTCTATATCCGAACGTCGACTTACCTTATAAGAGGTCTTAAAGCGGCAAGCTTCGCCTGCTACCAGCCCGACGTAAATAAATACAACTATAATAACAATAACAATAATAATAACAATTTATATCCGAACCCAAGGAATCAGTGCCAAAGTTTATATCGTTACATTTAAGCTTAATATTTATATCGGCGCTGCTTATGCCGTTAAATCTACGCATTTCTATATCCGAGCCCGAAGAATCCATGCTAAAGCTTATATCGTTGCATCCAGGTCCGATATTCTCGGCTGATTCCGGTCCGGCCTCGACCCCCGTCGCTACGCGATTTGAACAGCTGGCTTCTAGCTAGCTGTAGCAATCTGTACCTGCTTAACTCTCTTTTGTAGTTTTCCTTTGACGAAAGGTTTCTTTTTATGCGATTCATCCTAACTTATAAAGGAAGGGCGCATGCGATAATAGCCCTCGCTACAGCATTATGAATTGCTTTCTAAGGCCTTCTTGTATGTAACTATTAGCTTAGCACGTCGCCGTACCTTATAGGAGGTCCCAGGGCGGCAAGCTTCGCTTGCTATCCGCCCGACGTAAATAAATACAACAACAACAACAACAAAAGGTCCGATATTCGTACCAGCGCTGCTTATGCTTACGCCCTCTTATCCACGCTTCTTAATATTCGGTCTCGAAGTATTCGTGCCGTCGGAACTCATGCCGTTGAATCCAAGCCCTATATTCATGCCCGTAGCGCTCGTATTAGCGCTGCCGTTCCACTCGTCTTATCTACGCCTCGCCTCTCAACATTCGGTCTCGAAGTATTCGTGCCGTCGGAACTCATGCCGTTGAATCCAAGCCCGACATTCATGCCCGTAGCATTCGTATCGACGCTGCCGTTCCACTCTTCTTATCTACGCTTTTTGATATCCGGACTCGTCCGGTTCGTGCCGGCGGGGCTTGTATCGTTAAGTCCACGCTCTGCTACATCCGGTTCGTGCCGGCGGAACTCATATCGTTGGGTCTACGCTTTACCATATCCGAACCCGAGGAATTCGTATCAAGGCTCATATCGTTGCATTCAAGTCCGATATTCGTGCCGAAGCTACCATTCTACCTTTCTTATCCACGCTTCTTAGCATTCAATCCCGAAGCATTCGTGCCGGAGCTGCCGTTCTACTCCTTTTATCTACGCTTTTTAGCATTCAATCCCGAAGCATTCGTGCTAGCGCTGCCGTTCCATTCATCTACACTTCTTAGCATTCTGTCCCGTAGCGTTCGTGCCGGGCGGAGCTCAGTCCATTCCATCCTTTAACACCTTATCCGGAAGCATCCGCACTAGCGAAGCAATCAAATTCAAGCCCGGTATTAATGCTCATAGCGTTTGCGCCAACGCTGCTTATGCTTATACTATCCCACCTTTCAATATCCGATCCCAAAGCATTCGCACCGGCGCTGTCTTCTTATCCACGCTTCTTAGCATTCGGTCCCGTAGCGTTCGTGCCGGCGAAGCTTATGCCGTTAAATCCAAGCTCGATATTCGAAGCAACAACACTTATGCTCGTACTATTCCATCCTTTAACATCCGACCTTAAAGCATTCGTATCAGCGCTGCCGTTCCACCTACGCTATTCAGCATTCGGTCCCGTAGCGTTCGTGCCAGCGAAGCTCATGCCGTCAAATCCAAGCTCGATATTCGAAGCAACAATATTCATGCCCATATCATTCCATCTCTTAACATCCGACCTCGAAGCATTCGTATCAGCGCTGCCGTTCCACCCACGCCATTCAGCATTCGGCCCCGTAAAATTTGTGCCGGCGAAGCTTATGCCGTTAAATCCAAGCTCGATATTCGATCTCGAAGCATTGCCGTTGAATCCAGGCTCGATAATTATACTCGTAGCGTTCGTATCGGCGCTGCCGTTCCACCCCTCCTATTCACGCCATTCATTGTCGGACCCCAAAGCAGCACCGGCGCTGCCCATACCCACGCCGCCCCATCCTTCTATACCCCAGCCCGAAGCATCCGCACCGGCGCTGCCCATACCCACGCCGCCCCATCCTTCTATATCCAAGCCCGAAGCACCAATCTCGAAACCCGCATCCTCAACCTCGTTCTCCACCCCGAAACCCGTCTCCTCAGCTTTATCGTTAACCAGCTCACTACCCCTAGCAAGCCCCATTCCAAACCCGCCTCTTCCTCCCTTATCCTCACTACCACCACCTCCCCAACTCCTTCCATTAAACCCAACATCATCAACATCAAAATAAATCATCTCTTCGATAATATCGTCGCCGTCGTAAATATGCCCCGATCCATATCCAGATCCAAATCCAGATCCAGATCCAGATCCAGATCCAAACCTAGATCCAGATCTAAATCCAGATCCGAAATCCGCATCCACACTCATGCCCACACCCATATATCCTCCACCTCTAAAACCCATATCGTTCCTCGTATTCGTCCCCGTATTCGTATTCGTATTCGTATTTATCTTCGGAGCTCCATTTCGAAAGCCATCTCCACCTCGAAAGCCACTTCCAGCTCGAAAACACCCTATTCACCAACGCCAATTAGCCAAACTTCATCCTTATCTTAATCCTTATCCTTATCCCTATTCTAATCCAATTCTTATTCGAAAAAAAAAAAGAAATTTTTTTTTTTTTCTTACCTGCATCTGCACCTTCACCTGCATCTGCATCTGCACCTCCACCGATACCAGCATAAAATCTTATCTTATCATCCTTATAATCAAATCCAGCAACCTCTCGTCTCCTTCCGCTATCGAAAGCGTAAGCGTAAGGG